TGGCATTTTATTGAAAACCCCCTGTGTACATAACATATAAGTTCTAATAAATTAGTTACGGTTGACCTACCCTTTACAAATCCATGTTGGTAAGGCGATATTATAGACGAAACAAAGTGCGTTAGTCTCCGCGAGACTAAAAACTCAAACAATTTCGGTATTGCACTTAATTTTGCAATACCCCTATAATTTTCGACGACACTTCTATTATCAGCTTTATGCAAAGGAATAATAAAACTAGATCGCCATACTTTAGGAAAATAACCAGATGTCAAAGAATAATTAAATATAGTGGTTAGAGGTAAATAAAGCTCATATGCACATGGATTATTAGGGATAACTTCTGAAGATCGGACTTCAACCGGAGTCTTTACACTAGGACTCGAAGCTGTTGCAGGATTTACATTAGAGCATACAGATGAGTATAGCGCCGGAGGCGCGAGTTGATTCTCTGTGTGTAAAGTTCCCAGGTTTTTGCGTGGCGGAGCCACAGATGGTGAATTTAAAGTTATTAAATTTTCACCAGAAGCAATTGCCGAGGACTTTTTACGTTTTGGAGAACCATCAACATATTCAAAGTTCATAAAAAGCTTTTCAAAAATTTCAAGCCTTGTGTGAACTGCGTTGAAGTCCTTCTTCATGGCAGCTATTTCAATTTTAGACTCTTTGAAAAGACGATAAAAGTCAACTTCTAGAGACCTACAATTGATACATGCCCAACGAAGCCCATTTTTACGATCAGTTATTAAATCAAAATGTCTACCGGTAAATCCTGCACATTTTAAATGACCATGTTTGTATCATAGCCAGCAGGTTAATACTCTTTCGTTTAGGTTTGTTATGTTACATTTGTAAACACACTCCATTTTATTGTGCCTTAAGTTATGCTTTACAGGTATGAAATTATTTAAAGAAGATTATTATAAATTTACTTAGATGCCGAAAAGTATGCTTTAATTTCAAATTATTAAAACCAAATTTTAATTGTTGTTTTCAAACTGTATAGGGCAGTATTAACAACAATGAAAACCAAACTGTATAACACAAACGTCACGACAAAGCAAAGCAAGACAAAACAATAAGTAAACACACTAATGCTAGGAACACAATTGGAGCGAACGACGAATTTCGCCCTACGCGGCGACAAAATGAGCCGCGAAAATTCGTCGTATGGAACACAATACCGACGAAATTATAAAACAGCTGACGAAGTTGTTTACTTTTTGCTCATTTGTTGACTACAATGAATTATACAAGAACACATAATTCTTTACGTTCTCTATTATAATTTCACTTATGTCCATCTTCTCTATTATAAATTCACTGATATCCATCTTCACTCAGGCGCAAGTACACAAATAAATAAACAAATTAATTATGTTTTTTTTTATACGAGTAACAGATAGTAGAGTGACCATAACAAATTTTAAAGTAAAAAGTAACTTTATTTACTAAAACACATACAATTCGTACAAGTATGGCCACCTTGTACTGTTTTGTTCGCCGGTCGCCGGCGTATGAAATAGAAATAAAGCTAATTGAGTTCGCGGCGACCGACGAAATTTTCGCCGGTGCCGTGATTGTGTGCACTTCCATATACACATATGTGTTTTATTTTTGACGACGAACATACGCCGCGAAAAAATTCGTCGTTCGCTCCAATTGTGTTCCTAGCATAAGCTAACCAAAAAATTATAGTTGCTTATTTATTTAAATAACACGTCTTATCACTGATTATCACAATGCACTTGAAGGGTGACTCAAAAATTCACAAAATTTCACAAAATCACTAACAAAACAATACAATTAACAATTGAATTTTAAATAAAACTTTAGTCACTATTGACAATGTTAAAAACACTTCTAAACACAACACATTTTTCTGCGAAATTATTCCAAATTGGGTATTGAGCAATTGTAGTAGTTTCCAAATGGGGTGATATATTATTGTTTAGATCGCAGATATTCGATATCTGCAGATATTTGGTATTCTAAGGATTCTTATCAAATTTGTTTCAAACTCGTTGATTGTTTTACTCACATTTTCCACGGAATTGTTCCAAATTCGGTATTGAGTGTTTGTAACAATTTCTACCTCCGGTGGTGGATCATTGTCTGTACAGTTTAGCCTGCAGATATCCGATATCTTCAGATATTTATTATTGTAAGGATTCTTTTCAGATTTGTTTCAAACTCATTGATTGTATTTCATAAAAGGTTCTACAAGCGTTGCCAAAACATTGCCCATATTGGTCTAAGGTTCCCATATAACGGTACCCATCAATATTCGGTATGTTCCACGTGTTCCACTGTGTTTTTAATTTGGTATGAAATACCTATATAGGTTCCATCAATCATTTTATAGCCTCCGCCTTGAAAGGAGAGTATATTAAATTTGTTACTCCGTTTGTAATACACTTACATATCCGTTGTGGACCCCATAGAGTAAGTTTTCATATTCATGATCTCCGTCTGTCTGTTGAAATCACTATTGAAATTTGGCATAATAGTTTGTATTATGCCTGCGATGGTTGATATTGAAAAAATAGGTAAATCGGTTAACTTTTTCCTGTGGCGCCCATATAACGATACGTCCAAATAATCGTTATTTTGCGAATTAAATCACATTTTCTAACACAATTGTTAAAAATTCAGTGTTTTTGGACGGAAAAAATGGAAGTGGACCCATATAGAATCCCGATCCTCAATTATTAAATTTTCGACCTTCGGACTTAATACGATTTTATTTGTTTTATCGCCTTTCACACAAATAATTTACAAACAGTGCTCACGACAAACAGCACAAAAGACGTGATATCCGGACACAGATTAAAAGACAAACACTTTAAATTAGAATTAATTTATAATTAAATTTTGGGAAATACTTTTTGGCAAATAAACCCATTATTATTTTTAAGACTCGAAGGACCATTATATAACTTCCAATACCCTCGAATGGGCTTGTTGTGGATCGAATTCTACTGAGTAGATACTGAAAAGTATTCTGGCGATACTTACGTTTGTTGTCGGCACAACAAAGAGAAATATTTTAAATTACTATTTAAAATTAAAATTACTCTGGCGGCCAAATGTATTTAATTGAAAATTCACAATTCTTGATTCTTTCTAAGCTTCAAGAGGAGGAATACCGCTATATTTGTGATGAAACCTCATCCATTCCTTATAATCGAGATCGGGTCCATATCAATATCGTCGTCAATATGCTTGGGCAAATTTCTAATATTAAGATTAATATTAAGAATGGGCTTGTTGTGGATCGAATTCTACTGAGTAGATACTGAAAAGTATTCTGGCGATACTAACGTTTGTTGTCGGCACAACAAAGAGAAATATTTTAAATTACTATTTAAAATTAAAATTACTCTGGCGGCCAAATGTATTTAATTGAAAATTCACAATTCTTGATTCTTTCTAAGCTTCAAGAGGAGGAATACCGCTATATTTGTGATGAAACCTCATCCATTCCTTATAATCGAGATCGGGTCCATATCAATATCGTCGTCAATATGGTTGGGCATATTTCTAATATTAAGATTAAATTTCTATTCACAAGGGATTGATCATCATTAAAATACGTAAAACCCACTTTCTTTAAAGATACAAATCAATTTGTGAAAACTTACTTTGGAAACTCTACCTAAGTATTAGATCTGAACTTTGAACACGCGTGTATAGCTGATTCGAAGTTTTACATCGTGTGTTTAATTTAGATTGAAAATTATTGTTTTGCAACGTTAACAATGGGTTAACATCTAATAATTTGAAATCAACAGATTTCAACCAGTGGCGAATGGCGCCAACGCCGACTTACTTCATGTTGGGATCGTTGTTTTGTGGTTAAACACTCTCTTCTTCTATCGCGTCGATACGAACGAAGGCTCTCCCCCGCTATTGTGCAAATTAAGGTAATATTGTTTACCAACTCCTTTTTTATTTATTATCAATAAAGCCTGGCTTATGCCTTATTTTATCTCTTAAAACTAACCCCACTATTGTGTTTTCATTTATTTTATTTTGTATTGGGGAATTGCAAACCCTTTCCCCGCATTGGCGCAAACATTGGTCACTTCGTACCGGATTACGAGCCCTTGGTAAAAAGAAGTTAATCGTTTCTTCTTTTTTCTATTTGTAAAGCAAACTTCATCATCACCATCAACAAAAATACAGTCCACAAAATATCGGAGGCTCCATTGTATGGGGACTATACCATATCGAGGATCTACATAGACACTTCACTCCAAGGGGGTAAGGTACTCACTTCTCTTTCTGTAGAATTTCAGACAATTCCATTAAAAATGTGTCTACACTTACTATACCAAAAGCTATATGCATATTTGTATGATTTTCGACAAAAGCAATATATCTTGAAGCGTGTTCGTCACTATTATCGTTTATAGGATTCATAGATAGAGCGGGTTTCCTAGATATTTAATGACAGATAATGGAAGCAATTTTGTGGGTTTATTAAAAAAATCCTCCAAATAAATTTCAGATAAATGTATTTTTAATAGCTTTGAGTGGAAGTTTATTGCATCTTGTGCTATACAAATATAAGGATTAAGGGCAACAGGATATATATATATATAACAGGATATATATATATATATATATATATATATATATATATATATATATATATATATATATATATATATATATATATATATATATATATATATATATATATATATATATATATATATATATATATATATATATATATATATATATATATATATATATATATATATATATATATATATATATATATATATATATATATATATATATTTATATATATATTTTAGAAGAAAAATGTCGCTACACCTCGATTTCACAACAAAATATTAATGATATTTAGTATAAACATCACATTCCTTCATATCATCATCACATCTCCCCATTCCACAAAAGTAACAATTTACTCTTTACAATTACTTGCAACTTAATTTTTCCTACTTAACGTTTATATTTTACAGCACGTTGTTCAGTGTGTTATTGTTGCCGTTAAAACCATAGGAAATATTGTCCTTGTAACTTGCCTTTTGCAGTTTATGTTTGCGGTAATTGGTGTTCAACTTTTTAAGGTAAGCTATACAAAACCACAGTGTGCCATTCATACCATGGAGGGTACTTTAAGTTTTTCATCCGCTTAAACTCCTCGAAATAAGACCCCGCAAAAAATATCCCTGCTTAACATTATAGCTTATTTAGATTAGTCATTTAAAATTTACTCGATTTCTCAACCCAAATTTTCAAATGCTGGCTGTTTAATAAAATGCCATAAAAATCTTTCCTGAAGTTTAGAAGTTTATTATACCCTCCACCATAGTATGGAGGGTATATTAAGTTTGTCATTCCGTTTGTAATACCTCGAATTATACATTTTAGACCCCACAAAGTATATATATTTTTGATCAGCATAAAATTCTATGTCGATTTATCAATGTCCGTCCGTGTGTCCGTCTATCCGTCTGTGGAAATCACTCTAGCTTCCGAACGAAATGAAGTAGGTTGATAAAATTTTACTCAAATGTCTACTATGTCTGCAGGACTTTTAGTATTGAAAATGGGCCACGTCTTCGTATAGCCCCCATATAACGGTACCTCCCGATATGCGGTATTTTGATGATTTTAGCGGCATTATTTACCGGAATTGTTTCCAGTTTCGCATTTGAAGTTCGTAATGAATACTACAGCCTATGACGTAAAATTGTCTGTGCAGGTCCACGTCTTCATGTAGCCCCATATAATGGTTCCCCCCGATATTCGGTATTTTTATGATTTTAGCGACATTATTTACCGGAATTGTTTCAAGTTTCGCATTTGAAGTTCATGAAGTTCGATATAACAGCCTATGACAGAAAATTGCCTGTGCATTATAAACAGTTTTTTTTTTTTCAAGTTTCGTTTTAATATTGTAATAGCTTGTGACAAAAGTTGCCTATGCAGGTCCACATCGTCGTATAGACTCTAATATACGGCTACATTAGGTATTTTCAAGATTTTTAAGGGATTTATTTTTTTTTAAGATTTGTTACATTTGTAGCAAATGGTGGATACCGAATATCGGGAGGTACTGTTATATGGGGGCTATGCGAAGACGTGGACCTGCACAGACAATTTTCTGTCTTAGGCTGTACTGTCCATTACGAACTTCAAATACCAAATTTGAAACAATTCTGGTGAATAATGTCGCTAAAATCATCAAAATACCGAATATCGGGAGGTACCGTTATATGGGGGCTATATGAAAACTTCGACCTACATGGTCCATTTACGAACTTAACATGCCTACTGGAAAAATAAACATGTGTGCCGTCTATCTCAATTCGTTCGAAAGATAGCGCGATTAAAATAGAGAGACAGACAGACGGACAACGCCAAATCGACTTAGAATTTTACGCTGATCAAGAATATACATACTTTGTTGGGTCTGACATGAGTATTTCGAGGAGTTACAAACGGAATGACAAAGTTAATATACCCTCCATAGTATGGTGGAGGGTATAAAAAAAATCTTACCCTATATGACATGAAATTTTTAAATTAAAAGTAGAAAGCTGAATGTCTTACGTATATTTTTCCAATCTCACAAAAACAAATGCGGCAGATCAATCAAATACCAAAGCCACATGATGAGTCACATAGAAAATATTTTAAATTTAAGTTATAAAATAACAGAAACAAACCAAAAATTACAAACACATTAATAATATTTTTAAATAAAAACAAAAAGTAAAATTTATTTTTTGTTAAGTTTCTTCTGATAGATCACGGATCACTAAATAATGCCTTATAGCCTCTAGTTCATGGTTGCAGACATATATCTCCCTCCATATTTTGTATTATATAAATAGAAAGTGAAAAAAGTGGATCTGAAGTAAGAAGCATAAGCAACGATTGGAAGCAGTGCATTATCTTTGATGGTGGCCCCATATAAAAGAAATGTATGCATTGATGGAGTCATGGGATGCCAGTCCTATAATTCCACATACAGTTGCGCATTGCTGAAGGCATATTCTTTGAATTTTGTTGTATTTATTTTGTGTCCACTTGAAGATTTTAAATCTATGTATTTATTCGTGGCTAATGCCTGTTGTGTCCGCCGCTAATCTCCTACTCGTATGGCCATCATTGGTATTACCAAAACTGTCTTTAGGCATGTCCACCCACAGCCCGGTTTCCACGCGGAATCTTTCTTGGATTTCTTTTTTCCTTTTTTCTTCTAATGCTATCTCGTCCTGTGTCCTTTTCTTTCAATATTTCTTCACGGCAATTTATATGCCAAATGCAGAAAGCTTTCAAAAATACGTATTTTTGCGTGCAATACCGAAATTCCAAATTTAAGAGCATTGGGACTTTTCTCGTTTTTTTTTTTTAAATCTTTGGAAATTGCGCCACATATATAGCATCGGCTAGTTGGGGTCGTGTTGGTTGCACACTTGCCATCAATTATGATCATGTTTAAAATGTGATTATAAGCTAATTTTTTTCCATCAATATTTACTTTTGTAGGAGTGAAGTTCTTAATTTCATTTTGCACATAACTTATTTCCTCTTTTGTTACATCTGTAGTTTCTTTCACATACCGAAATCTGATGGGGCGGCAAAATCGTTGAGATGATGGTGTTGAGTTTTGCCACAACACTTTATTGCTTTAAATAATCGTTAATGAATTTTTTTCAATTTCGTGAGGGCTTGATAACAATTCTTCCAGGTAGATTGATAACCGTTAAATGGTATGATCGTCGTCTTTGGTGGATAGCACTCTTGTTTTGATTTTAACAAAGGGTAGAAACAAGGATATTGCTTCGGGTCAGTTGCCCTTATTATTTTATATTGTCGTCTTGTTAGATCAGCTTCTACGAACATTTTGAGTGCTTGGAAGGGGGTCAAAGGAGCAATTGATTCATTGGTCTTGGAATAAGCATTTCTATATTTACTAGCCTTAGTTGGTGAACTTCCTCTTTCTTTGAGCAATTTTGAGACATTTCTTTGTCTTGTGCAGCATGAAAAATCATTCACCATCAATATTTGATTGAATTTCCTCAGTTTTTCTTCTCTTGCTTCGTTAACTGGAATCCGAAAATGATTTGCTCGGACGACCTGGTTGATTAACGAATGCACTGGTATGTCAAAAGTGCCTAAGTTCATAAAAACTTCTTCAACTTTATGCGCTTTTAGCCATCTCAGTTTAAATTCGCGTTTGATGTGCGAAAATTTATTCTTGAGATTCTTGTTTCTCTCCACAATGTCTTCGCAAGACAATAGCAACTGGTTCTCTGAAAACTTCAATTTCTTATCCAAACTTTGTAAATTTTGTTGTTGCATTTGCTCAAGTAGACATTTACGGGTCACTATTTTCACCCCCGACGAACTAGGCACGTCCATAGCTAAAAAAAACATAAAATAGGATTTTTTCAATTTTTTTTAACAAAATACTTTGAAGTGCTTTATTTAATGGATCTGCTAGATTTTGCGGCTACTTTTTTTTAATAGAGAAGCTAAATGTGTAACGTATTCAATAAACAAAAATATACTATCCGGACGAAACCGGGAACATAACAAAATTGCTTTTGAAATTAAAAAAAAGATTTTTTCTACGAAAAGGAGGGTATGTTCAACTACTGAAAAATAAAATGAAAGTTACAAATAAAATATAAAACTTTTATTTATTTAATAAAAGTTTACATGAGCAGGAATCACTATCACTTCACCACACAACTTAATATAAAAACAAGTAAAAGAACATTAAGTTCGGCCGGGCCAAACTTTTAATACCCTCCACCTTAGGGTAAAGGAAACATTAGAAAAAATATCGAATATAGGGATATACCGTTATATGGGGGCTATGCCAAATCATGGACCCATACATGCAATGTTTAGCCACCGGAGCTAGAACCCATTATGACCTACAAATACAAATTTTCAGACAAATACGTGAAAAAATGTGGCAAAAATCATCAAATTACCGAATATCGGGAGGTACCGTTATATGGGGGCTATACCAAACCGTGGACCTATAATTACAATGACTCGCCACACGAACTGGGACCCATTATGATCTACAACTACCAAATTTTCAGAGAAATTCGTAAAAAATGTGTCAAAAATCATAAAAATACGGAATATTGGGAGGTACCGTTATATGAGGACTATACCAAAACGTGGACCTATACATACAATGTTTCGCCACACGAACTAGGACCCATTATGACTCACAAATACCAATTTTTAAAAAAATCAGTGAAAAAATGTGGCAAAAACCATCAAAATACCGAATATCGGGAGGTACCGTTATATGGGGGCTATACCAAATCATGGAACCATACATGCAATGTTTAGCCACCGGAGCTAGAACCCATTATGACCTACAAATACCAATTATCAGACAAATACGTGAAAAAAATGTGGCAAAAATCATCAAATTACCGAATATCGGGAGATACCGTTATATGGGGGCTATACCAAAGCGTGGACCTATAATTACAATGACTCGCCATACGAACTGGGACCCATTATGATCTACAATTACCAAATTTTCAGAGAAATTCAAAAAAAAAAATGTGTCAAAAATCATCAAAATACCTAATATTGGGAGGTACCGTTATATGGGGACTATACCAAAACGTGGACTATACATACAATGTTTCGCCACACGAACTAGGACCCATTATGACTCACAAATACCAACTTTTTAGACAAATCAGTGAAAAATGTGGCAAAAACCATCAAAATACCGAATATCGGGAGGTACCGTTATATGGGGGCTATACCAAATCATGGACCCATACATGCAATGTTTCGCCACCGGAGCTGAAAACCATTATGACCAACAAATACCAATTTTTAGACAAGTCCCATTATGACTCACAAATACCAACTTTTTAGACAAATCAGTGAAAAAATGTAGCAAAAACCATCAAAATACCGAATATCGGGAGATACCGTTATATGGGGGCTATACCAAATCATGGACCCATACATGCAATGTTTCGCCACCGGAGCTGGAAACCATTATGACCAACAAATACCAATTTTTAGACAAATCCCATTATGACTCACAAATACCAACTTTTTAGAC